CCCCCACCTCCGCTCCAATTACCTGGTATATGTATTAATTTACTGAATAGCCCTTATTACAAAGATTTCCATTAATATTTAATACAGGTACCTTTCCATAAAGATTTGTAAATGCATTTATTTTCACTTGACTCGTGAATCAAAGCTATCTGATATATACATCCCCGTAAGTCCAGCTGTCCTAGCTACTACAAACCTAAAACCCACGGACATTACAACCCCCCAAAACAATATGTAATTACTATATACACAGTACCCACCTATCTGCCCAATGTTTGTATCCACAGATCCCCAGATATTAAGACCAGTCTCCAATTCCTGAAGTTTATCCAGGATGTTGCGTCCTTGATCACGTATGTCACACTTATCACTCTGTCAAAAAAGAAAGTTCGCAACAATATTATGTCAAATTACAATCCAATCAGCAAGAGTTTCATACGATTGTAATTTGTTCTGGTCAAATACAGTGCCTCAGAGTAATTTTAAATTTGGTAATTGTTGATGGTTTTTTTCATGGAATGAAATCTACAGATACTTAACTTTAGAAAAACGTACAGAGTTGAAGTAGTTATTAATATGTGATGGCGGATTTATATGGGGTCAAAAGTCGGGGGGTCCATGTTCCTGTCCCACTTCACCAGTTTGGCTTGTAAACTTCCGGTTGTCAAAGGCAGATGTCTGTAGTGCTTTTATATGCCATTAAACCCATAAAAAATGCCTTTTGAAGCCTTTGTCAGGTATGTATATTATTAGCTCAAAAGCTTGGTAGTAACATATAGTAAATTTTTAAGTTGTGCAAGTCCTTATATCACACAAACATATATACAAGTTTCATATTTCAGTGGTTAGAATTACTACATACCAGAAATTATTTTGCTGCAGTTTAATTTTTTGTCTTTTTCATCCCCAGAATGAGGGCCAATTTATCCTTACAGCAAATATTATAGGTAAAGCAATTAAATGTGAATGGTGAAATTAACACTGGGCAAATAGGGATTATTCTAGCAAAGGGCAAAAGTTTGATAATTGACTGGGCAAAAATGTCCAGCTATGCAGTATGTATGGACCTTCCTGAAGGTTTACAGAGATTACCAGATTTATACAGATTAAATAGAACGCATACATTTGGGCGTAAGGTTTTAATCATACAAGTTACCAGATTATACAGGTTAAATAGACTGTATACATTAGGACCTACGGTTTTAAGTATACAAGTAACAAGATTATACAGGAATACATAGTTATGTATACAGTAGGACCTAGTTGAAGGACTGGTTTATACACGTTATGTATACAGTAGGACCTAGTTGAAGGACTGGTTTATACACGTTATGTATACAGTAGGACCTAGTTGAAGGACTAGTTTACACACGTTATGTATACAGTAGGACCTAGTTGAAGGACTGGTTTATACACGCTATGTATACAGTAGGACCTAGTTGAAGAACTGGTTTATACACGTTCTGTATACAGTAGGACCTAGTTGAAGG